GTTTGTTGATTCAAATGCCACTCTAATTCCTGCTTTATTAAGAATCCTACGTGGGGTGTCAAATGTCCCCTCCTTATGCGGTTAAACGATAGATGCCTTATATTGTCTCTTGTTTATGTTATCATTATTAGTTTCGCCATTATTTTTATTTTGCTTTTGACCTTTTTTGATATTCCTAATGAATTTTATAGGATAGTAATTGAACACCAACGCCTCTTCTATCTGTTTTATTTCATAATTTAGGTATTTTTTTGTACTACTTAGTGCTACTGAAGTTCGCACAAACTTCATATTCTCGCATTTATAATAATCGTTGTCTTCTACACTAGGTTTTAATGTTTCAAAACGTCAGATAACACACAGAAATAACATATCAGCAACTTATGGAAAGGCTAATTTCTTTGTTTAGGAAATTTAATATCAAACGAGTACGATCGAACTATTGAGTACATCTTTTTACAGAAGCATTTCTACATGTTTTACGCTAGTGACCTCAGCAAGTATAATTTTTTGGCCAGCTGTCCTCTCTTGTCCTTGAGAAGACGGATGATCAGGTTTATCAAATGGGGTCACATTAATTACAATTCTACAGAGAATTTTCAGCCTTAAGTCAATAACTTCTGTCATCATGGGAATATTATTTTTCCTTTCAAACATAATTATATGAAAATATTTTGACTCATGGTTTAACATAGATGAAATCGAGAAGTGAATCTCAGCCCCACCTTCTCATTGTTTACTCTCGATAATGTTCATTTTAAGGAGTTGACTAAGTGACCTCATTCCGAAGGTTATACTTCTTCATACAAGATACACTTCACACACACACACTCTTAGTATCACCTTTTAGATACTCATAATTGTGTATTATTTTTAAAATGGTCTGTATAAGACATAAATATATACCGGCACTTGTCCTTCATACTTCTACATCTCACTTATGCAAATATTTGGAATGATGTAAAATATTTGCAGCTAAGGTGGGTTGTAAATACTTATAGTGTTGTGATATTGTAACAGATCGTTTATTGAGAAAATCAACAGATGTTTATAGATTTTTATGCACATTATTATTAGCATTACTGTTAGCAGAGACGCAAGTTATTCTGTACTGCTTGTGACCAATTCTTAGATAGTTAAGCCATATATCTGCGAATCATATTTGCACACGTTAAGTCTGCTGTGATTGGTTGTTGAGTTCCTCAAGGTTAAGCTTTGTTATTGTTTTTTTCTGATGACCCCGATTCAGGTAGTAAACATTTACGTAAATTATTGTCTACAATTTTGGCTTGCAAACAGCTCTCACCTCAATATTATTTTCCGCCAGTACCGGTAAGATGCGGTTTAAAGTATACCATAGTTTCTGACTTAGTTCTGTTCTCTGAGCCAGTTGATTTAACTGTGAAGCTACAAATCTTCAGCATTATTTCAAAATGCCTTAGGTTCTTCACATAAGAGAAATATTTACTGGTTATTTGAAAGTTTTACTTCAAATCATCCAGATTTTTTAAAATGTTGTTCTGAAAGCGTATTTCCCCTCCTGTTTATATTATGGGCAGCGATTTCGCTGAGTCTGCTGACACCCACTTCCATCATCTAGTCTCAGTCGGCCTTCGTTTCAAAATCAATGTATTAAGATGTTTATTAGAATAACTACATGATTTTACAGACCATTCAAACTTCTCATTAGGTTTTATTTTTTCAATGTTTGATTGGATATTGAAAAACGAAAGTAGACCACAAGTTTGATCACGAACTGACTCAAGTAAGAGAAGAGTTGAAAACCAAGGAGTACTGGACAACTGTTTCTTTCTTGTTTGGCACTTTTCAGAAATATGCACACTGGAAACGTGAACAGGGCCATGAGATTACAATGTGAGGTCGCTGACCACTTAGTCACTGGGGTGGCATGCAATAGCCCATCAATTCAAACTCCGAATCGCCAAAATTAATGCGTTATATAGAAGCATATATATATATATAATATATATATACAACGAACTTTCAGGAGACATTTCATTATTTTCAAGTATTGGTTTGTAAGGATTTGTTTGATTGGTTGGAGGATTTCATCATGAGCTGACATCAGTTAGAGAACCATTCGAAAACCTGCAGGGAGTACTGGACAGCTGTTTCGTCAGCTCATTTAGGACTCTTCAGCAGTACGCACCCACCACAAGGGTTCGAACCCAGGACCTTCTGGTTACAAGGCTAGTGAGCTCGTAGACCATTAAGCCACTGGGACCCAATCCAGTGACCAGTCCATGAATTCTAACTTCTGCCAATTCACGACATAGCGCGACCGCTAGCCAATGTCTTCGTCGAGTATTTGTCTTCACACCCGACCTGCTGCACCCTACTGGTCACAGGTCATTATTTATTTGTTTTTGTTGTATTGATCAGCTAGTTTCTCGACATCTGTTTCAACATAATATGCAGTTGACTAACCTTTTTATCTATCTTTAGCCTTAATTTCACTGATAAAACTGCTACTGTCTTTCCGCTCAGACAAACAATTTAGTGTTTGGACGTAAACTATCGAAGTAACAACTGTTGTCGCATTTTTCTAAACTCCTTATTAATTTACTCTAATTTTGCTAACATAATTCAACAATAAACAAATATTTGTTTTATTTTCATCCAATACAATTAACCGAACGAATCGTCAATATTCAATTATCTCATCACGCTGTTGTCTTTCCTGGGTAATTTTATAAACGTAGTGTCTGTGAATTCACGTAGTAAACTCTAATTCTTCTAGACATAGCTGTCTTAGACGAATGTAGACGAATGGCAGGCTAACACAACAAATAGGTGAACATTGACGTCTTTTTATTTCTAACTCCGAAATTCACTGTTTCTTGAAATCATATATACATATATACTTTTGTTGTATTATTGCTTATTCACGACGTGTTCACTTTTTAACAGAAAACCAATGAAATGAGAAATATCGAAGTGGCAAAAACCTTATTTTACATCATGCTGTTTGTATACAAATAATATAAGTGTCTACTGGTCACTTAGTTCAATGGCTTTTTATAAAACGTTATATGAATCACCCATGTTTTCTTCCTCAAAGTTGACTTTATTAGTAAACAAGATCAAAACCTAAACAGAGTGAACTTTGTATAGTCTGTAAAAGCAGCTAGTTTTGTTAACTGTTTGAATGTTGCTGAAAACAAAATAATAATAATAATGTCTCTGTCTCTACTTTATATCTCTATTTTGATATTCGGTTATTTGAGTGTGACGTGAAACAGACTCATGTAGCTTTTTTACCTTTGTACAGTATTCTGTGAAGGAGAGCTGTTTGATAAGTGAAAATAAAATCTTCAGAAAAAGTTTATTTTGAGTTTTATAGGCATTTGGAGACTGGCTGACATGAAATTCACTATTGGCTTTTATCTGCAGCTAACCTAAGAATATCATTCCGAAGTTCTCATGTGAAGCTCTAGTTTAATAGACCTATTTAATGGTGTTATCAAGCATCAAACACACATGAAGGCATTCCCTTGTGGCAGAGTTAAGTATTCTGAAATATCAGGTCAGAGGTTGCAGATATTCATTTTAGTTGAGACAAATGAAACAGCTGCATGCTGTCTAAGATTTCAGAAGTAAGATGAATTGACAAAGTCCTAATGGTTGACTTTCAGTGTTAATACCACATACTGAATATAACTGTCTAGAAATGTCACCATAAAGATAATGTCAAAATGAGTATCATATTACTGTCTGGATAAATTACTCTAAATATTTCATACCTTTGGTTCCCTTGATAAATTTCGACAGAGAAAGAAAGACCAGATTATAATATTCTATTTCACAGGTTCTCATCAGCTGCAAACTACCTGAAATTACAATGGTTATAAATAATGACATTTCATACTTCAATGTTTGAAAGGTAATAGAGAAAACATTATAAAATGAAAGCTTGATGAATATAACGTCAATATTTCAATTTGATAACTTTAACTTCTTGAGTTGCTATGTTGGCGTACAAGCTAACACTGTTTATTAGATTTTTCTGTTTTCTGTCTTCTCTCACCCCTCCCCTTTTTTCATAGTTTAATAGCATATAAATTGATGGTGACTTAAACTAAAAATCTGTAATGCTTATATTCCGGATGCATTCATCTTATAATGTTTTCTCTATTACCTTTCAAACATTGAAGTATGAAATGTCATTATTTATAACCATTGTAATTTCAGGTAGTTTGCAGTTAGCTGATGAGAACCTGTGAAATAGAATGATATCATTTTATATTCCAGATATTTTCTTGTCAATGCATTTAGCTTACAATAATAGTAGATCAGAGTATTTAGGTATTTTTAAGTGATACAGAATGTCTTTAAGACTACCCGGCCGTGGTTTGCATCGACCGTAATATTTTTTTTGCCTTTTTACCTCAGTGGTGTTCAGTGTTGCTGTTAGCCACTACACTATATTGACTTTCTCAATAGTTAGCCATTCAAGTTTCAATTTCAATAAGTTTCTTTTATACACTCATTTATTGTGACAAGATAGATCAGATCCTTAGCATATAATGTTCGAGTTTTATTACACAAATTCTCTTCATTTGCAAACTGTCTGAAATTACAAAACATTTTTGCTTTCATTTCAATCTTTTTAATTGTTCCTTTTATGCTGATCATACTTTAACATGTTACCGTGTTTTTAGTAGGCGACAATCAATCAATAATAAACCTCTAAAGCACCGCTTCTTGTCAAACTTTATGTACGAGAAAAAGGAAATGCCATGAAATTTCATGAACCGTATTATTGAATTCATAATTTAATACAGAATGGTCCATCACTTACTCGTATATGAATTGAATTGTGTTTAATGTTAGCTATAGTTTGCATAAATCTTTATACATTCTAAACTCAAATAATTTTTATGATGGACAGTTTGAAATGCAGTCAACATTCGTTTTTAGTGTGTTTTGCATCTATTTTTGTCTCTATAGTAATTCCTCTATTTATTTGTTATATTTAGACCATCGATTGATGAGCAGAACGCCCGTTTAGATCAGATAAGTTCAAGAATATTTGGTGAGTCATTTGTTTGAGGATTATTACTTTTTGTAAAGTTATCTGATTTTGAACAAGATTAGTGTTTGTTGCACTGTGTGATATCATATTTATTTTAATGGATTACTGCCGACTCTATGTAACCTAAATAAATAAACAAAAGATTGGTGGATGGTGTCTAGCAGTGGAATCCAGGATGCGCATTTTGTCCTATTTGGGACTCGTCACTGAATATACCTGCATTCCCCAGTGAGTGATGATTTTATCACCAAGGCTCGAACCCAGTGCCCATAGTTTCAAACTCACTGGGGAGTTCAGGTACATCCAGTCAAGAGTCCCAAATAGGACGAAATGCGCGTTCTGGATTCCACTGCTAGTCACCATCCACCACTTAAATTTTAATTACATGCCTAGCAATCGTCGAAGCATCTGCAAAAGAAGCCGACATGTCAACCTGAGACCGAGCATTTAGGTCCAATCAATTGACGGAAAATTCTAAAATTCAGTTGAAAAAGATTGGTAGATGAACAGAGTGATAATCAAAGTTTCGTGTATATAATTCAGTCGAAAAATAGAAGTCTTGACCACAGATTGATAACAGTTAGAGAACCATTGAAAACCAGGGAGTACTGGAAAGCTGTTTCGTTAGCCTGGTTTGGGAATCATCGGCAGTACGCATCCATCAACGGGATTCGAATTCAGGACCTTCCGGTTACAAGGCAAGCTCGTATACCGTTCAGCCACTGGGACCCGACTCCTCAATGGCCATCTCATGAATTTTATCTTCAACAAATTCGTGATTTAGCGCAACTACCAACCATCACTGGGTTCGAACCCCAGAGTGTGGGTACGTACTGCCGATGATTCCCAAACTAGAATGAAACAACTGTCCAGTACTCCCTGGTTTTCAATGGTCCTCTAACTGATATCAATGCGTGGTAGAACTTCTAAAAATAAATTGGATATATAATGCGGCTGCTTGTAAAATGCGCTAATGAAGACTATCCAGCCTCCTTTGATGAAGACAGACAGAAATTTATCTTCATTTTGATAATAAAAAATCCATTCTGTGAGCTCAGGATGTACTTCTTATTTTGAAAAGTTTTTGAAAACTTCAATTACGAGAGAAACACTGTCGGCTGGTTATTTTTTATCTATCCTCAAGCGTTTAAATATCCACACACTGTGAGGCGGTTACTTGAATCAGACAACATTTGCGAGTAGTTTAGAGCAAGTCCACTCGTTGGAAAGTGAAACACTGATCACCGCTTATCCCTGAAATTAAATGTTACATTTGACTTCTTTGAGAAATACTATTCAAAAAGTCTAGGCATGTTGTCAGGAGCATTAAAGCTTTTAATAAATCGAACTTAAAATTATTAGTAGATATTTCATTATATGTTGACAAAATGATGTTTAACATACTAAAGTCAAACACGACTATCAGAAATTAGCTATTGCTATATATATATATATATATATATATATATATACATATATAGAAAGAGAGAGAGACGGATGAAAAGGATTCTACCAACGTCCAACACGTTGTTTAGTACAAGACACTATCTAGCTACAAAATAAGCAGTGCATTGACCTCTTCTACATTATTTAAAATGTTTACCTCTCATATATGTTTGAAGGTCTCAGACTCTTCCGTTTTTGATGTATCTCAGATCATTTGAATTGTATCTATAGAAGGGAATGAGAAATACATGTTTCTTATAATTAAAAGTCCAGTTTTTCATGTTATCTCCTCTTGAGTTGTATGCATAAGCAGTCTGTGGACTTTAAAATAACACACCATCTACTATTGTCATTCACTATGATCTTGAGAGGAAATAGTTTTCTTTAATGGTACAGTGATCTTAGTAAGGAGTCGAAAAGCAATTTAATAAACATCATTTCTGTAAGATGAAGTATACATTGTGTTTATAGTGTAAGTGGAACTAGTAACGCGACTATAAGAAGTAAATAATGTCAATGAAAAATATATCTGAAGTTAGAAACACAAATTCGTTGTTTATTTGAAGTTAATGGCGCCAAATTCAAACTGAAAAACTAACTGATTTCAGACTTACTCATGAAGGATTATCGTTCACCACTAAAGACCATTTGTTATAGGTATCTTATAGCCACTGAAGAGGCTTGATTGAATTACATTTCTATGGAAATGATGCTGATGTATAGTTCTCCAAAGTCCTTTATGATTGTGTTCAGTAATAACATATCGACTTAATTCACTTTGAAAATGTTTACCAGAAATAAAAGTCAACCTGTTTTATATAACTACTTCATTCACTTAGTATATACAACTAAATTATTATCCCATATGAAGTTTCATTCATAAGGATAACCAATTCGAATTAATAACCTCATCAAACACCAAATATTCTTAGTAAAATGTTCGGTGTTTAGATGTGTATAAAACGTGTTTATCAATAGAAAAACCCTTGAAAAACGTTAAGTGCGTCAACAGTAGAATAATTGTTCAACGTCATTGAAAATAATCGTTTTATCGGGACTAATATGTTTTCAAACGGAGCAGTTTTCAACCGCTGGACATTAATGCAACGTAACTGAAACGATTTCGCACGTGTCAGCGTTACTTGAATGAATTATTTTATGATTGTGTTTTAAACATGAATTAATTCAACTGACATAGCCAATCAAACAGTTAGTGTTGTAATAATAATTATTATAATAAAGCAAAGTATACATGGTTATTTAATTAAGCGGCAACTATCAGTGGAATTTAGAATAACCAAAAGACTTATCAGATAGATGCGACTACTGAACATTGAATTTTAGTTCCAGCCGAAATGTTAATGTTCACTATTTCAAATCTGCAGATCTATTCACCAGTTCATAGAGGTACAGAAGTCAACGTTTGCTCAGATGATGATAATTATAACTTGACTTTTGAATTTCATTTTGCTTTCGTTGTAATACCCGAGTTTGTTGGTTTCTGTTGAGTTCAGAAATCTTGAGGAGAAGTATATACCTACATAATCAGTATCTGTATATAATTTTAAAGGCTAGTTACATAAGTAAAACGTAATACGAACTATGCTATGTATTCACTAGCTTTCTGATAAATATAAATAGGTATATATACATACATATATGATTCTTAAAAATTCCTTCTTACTTTTAGCTACTATTTTGCCGGACAATGGATCTGTTGAACAGCTTAAGCAGGATATGAAACAAGCCTACAAACGTTTAAACATGATCACAAATGGAGCTCAAGTATTGGTTAGTAATGACATTTTAATCTCGCCATGTTTATATATGCACGTATTCTGATATTGTTTGATGATATATAGTGTGAAAGACGTTTCAGTGATAGATGTTTAATTACTGCTGGTATTAAATGGTTGGAGGCAATCAGCAGGAAGCCACACCTGACCTAGGTTTTGTGCTAGTTGGTACTCGTCAGCACAATGTATCTGCAACCTTGAAGGAATTCATATCCCTTCTGAGATTCGAACCCGCGTCACCCAGTGCTGCAGTCAGAGACGTTACCACTGATCTATTCAGGCTCGTAATTGACCTCCTATAGGACTGTATTGGATACTTTTGACTGGACACTAGTCAGTAACTAGTGTAATGTGTGTGGGTCTGGTCCTTTCTTTGGTGCATACTGAATTCTATCAGTCAAGTTTGCATTCAGTCTGCACCGAAGGAAAGACTAGACACACTACCTATGATTTCACGAGGACTTTCATTGTTTTGTTTTGTATTTATTGTGTCTTCACCTGTAAACTGCTTGTTTATTTTCCATGGCTCAGTTATTTGTATCAGTATCAGACTTGGCTATAAATGATAGTTTTATATGTAATCTTTGTCCTAATAAAAGTAATATTGTGAAATGACACAGAAATTGAGGCATCATATTCAGACTATAGTTTCTTAACATGTTCTGTGATAAGATTAATAGAACAACTTCTTGGTTTACTGGAGGATACTAAATACATCCTATAGTAAATAATAATACTGTTTCACTGTGTGATATACCCAGCAAACAAACTGATGCGAAATTACATGCTACTACAGCGCTCAATTTTTGCATAAATAATATATATATATATATATTACCAGAGGATAAGTTATTCGACCGATTGTAAAAGATAATTTAACGGGCAGCAGTGTGCTAAACTTTGTATCTCTATAGAAACATTATTTATCACAGAGATATATTGTAAAAACTAATGTTTTTTAACGAGGAATACAAAGCATTTTCCATCAGTGATAAGAGACTACTGGATTACTGATATAATCTAGCTGGAGTATAAACGAAGCAGAAAATATAACGGACATGTAGGTCTCACAGTGACTCACGCAAAGCTCAGGCCTATTCACATGCAAATTAGTTACCTATTTGTTAATGTTTGACAAGCCTTGAATGTATCACTCTAAAACAACAAAAAACAAATAGATAATTCATAAAGTTTCCTATGCTTCGATTGTCTCCCCTTTTGTTCAGAAGCCAAAGTGATTAAGAGTATTTCAGGTCTCTCGGGGTATAAATAAAACGATTATTTGGATAAATTTTACTGCTCATTATCTTGAAAAATTCGACAGCTTCCCCTAGTAATCTACTCATTTCAGAAAGCTATGAAACTTCCTGTTTGGGAACCCAGTGAGCACCATAGCTGCGGGGAAAATGAAGATACGGTACGTAGTTAAGTCTTTTAAGTAGGCAGGAATATTTACACAACATTCTGTGGTTTCAACTCTCTTAAATTTATGTCAGTTCGCTTGAGTGAGTCTGTTCAAAACTGTAATCGATAAGCTTTCAATTCTTTCTTCTTCAATGAATTTGCCACCACCTGTTACATTATGCAACCGAATTTAAAAGTGTGGAAATATTCAGTAGTGTGAAGCGGAAATATGTTATAACAAAGAAAGAACAAATGCAGTTGCAGGATAATACGAGCTCCTTTCATTTCGCGGATTCTCTTCAACTGTCCACAACCTATACAATACCAAAACATAAGTTATAAAAGGTCTGAACGTACTTTTATCACAGAAAGTGTAAGTAATACAATTCTGAAATGATCTCAGTAGGCAAACTATTTATAGTATAATTAAACAAGAGGGGTGGTCGGAGTTCACATTTTGCATACAAACCAGGGTAGGCTAGAGATAGAATACAAAATTACCTGACACGTGGTATCCACAACGGAAAACTCAGCTCAGCCTTCGAAGTGAATACAAGAGCAAGACAAGGCTGCCTATTATCACCAATGATATTTCTAATTGTGGTGAACTGGATTATGCGTCACAATGTGCACAGGGAGTGAGGAGACAGGAATACGCTGGACCACCGATAGGAAGACTCTAGAAGATCTAGGCTTCGTGGGCGATTTATGTCTAATTTCACACGAACTGGAGGACTTACATGCGTAAACCAAGAATTTGGCAGAAGAAGCAGCGGAGACAGAACTCCAGGTGAACATACAGAAGACGGAGGTAATGAAGATAACCAACGAACAGCAACGAAAACAACAACCAGCACCAATCACCATCAACGGGAGAAATCTGAAAAAGGTTATTTCCTACACTTATATAGGAAGCATAGTTTCAACCACAGGGGGGACAGATGAAGATGTCAAAGTCAGAATCAGGATGGCAGGATACACCTTCATCAATCTGAAATCAGTTTGGAAATCTCCTGCACTCAGCATAAACAACAGGATTAGGATTTTCAAAACCAGTGTCAAGTCAGTTCTTCCATATGGAGCAGAAACTTGACCAGCACATTACAAAAAGCATTTCCATCAGATTATAGACTTTTATCAATAGCCGCCTTCGCTAGCTCTATATTGAAAATTAAATGTCCAGAAAGAATTAGCAGCAAGAAACTCTGGCAAAAAACTACACAGGAACCTATTGTTCAACAAATATGTAGAAGAAAATGGAGGCCGTCAAATGACATTGCGCGCCAGGCCACTGATCGAGTGGAATCTAAATGGGAAGCGACTAGTGGGTCGTCAGTTCGAGGCTGGCATGGAGGAGATCGTCCGAAGAGGAGATGAGAGATTCTGGACAGTCGTGGAGCCAGCTGAAGAGGATGGCAGAAAACAGAACAAAGTGTTGTTGAAGCCCTATGTTCCACTCAGAATCCAAGAGAACAATAACAAATAAATAAATAATAATTATGAAAAGTTCAGTGGGATGGGAGTGAAAAGTAAAAGTTAAATCATGACGTAGATGAACCTTAAGGAAAATGTAGAAACTTAATAGGTGAGGTGTTACGCAACACACCCGAACACATACAAAAAATTGCAGTTACCAGGGTAGTTACAGGTCTGTCACGCTATCTTTCCATATACAGAAGTTAGATGGAAGTCTTTAGATAGCAGTGGCTTCTGCGAAATGCACTAAGATTCTTTTTGTATATTGATTATTTTGAAAGCCTAACTAATTTCAACTGTATGCCCCTTGTCGAACGGGTATCTGGCAGATGGTCTTGAGAAAGCTTCGCTGTCTTTCATACATAAACTTTTAGGAATATGCTCAGAAAATCTAGTAAACATTATCCCCCTAGTTCTTCCTAGTTACTTGCTACCGCAAGCGCAAATGAACCGATAGATGCTTTTGAACATGACATGAACAGGGTGCTTATCCACTTTTGACTAAATCAATGAGCATTTCGTGTTGTTAAACGAAATCAGTCTGGCGGTTGGAAGTGTTCTCTTTAGTGCATACTTGATTATTTTTCCAGTTCCTGTTGATACTTCTCCTTTAAACACTAGGCAGATAAAAACTGGTTTTTTTCAACTGTTTCGAGAGTCCCCAGTGTTGACAGATGCTACTGGAAATCCTTCTAATTACTTGGCCTAACCTTACTTATCCCTTCTACTGACGCGGAACCCTAAACGAGAATAAAATATCTTGTTTTACTTGATCTGTAGTATTCAACTGTCAATATTTCAACACTCAGCTTGTTTATGTCATCAAAAACTAGACATGGAACAGTAATTAATTAACAGGTCAACAAAAATAAATCACGTCAACATTTTTTTAAATTATCAGCGATAATAAAACCAAAATATGACCAGTTCTACAATTGCAGTGACAACAAATCGCGATGTCAGTGACCAAGTTTTCTATTTAACTTTATGATCTGTTGATTGAAACTGACTGAATTTTATAATTTTTCATAACTAAATAAATGAATCATGATTGGATCTATTGACGTGCCTTACACTAATTTCACCAGATTTCACTGTATCTCCATGTTTATCTTACTTACTTACTTTACTTCGGCTATCTCCTACGGGAGGATGAGCCGGCTTCATGAACATCTCGAATCATCGCTGCCCAGGCGCGGCGATCTGATTTGTAAGAGAGTTTATGAAGTTTCATGGGAATTTGGAACGAGTGATGTCCCCAGAATCTCTCGGTCTTTTGTTTGAGAGTGCAGCTCTAGTCTTTACACAACCAAGTGTGACCTACAAGGCAGTAGGAGCGGAGTAGGGAGTTCACTATTCATTGGCAGCCATGTTTATCTACGCACAGGTATACTGAATAACGCATACATCAACTGATTTAGTCATTTCCCATCGCCAAATTTGATTGAGCTGAATTGATTCTCCAAATAGATTTTAATTACTGAACGTAGCAGGGTGTGACACTTGTTTTCAAATTGCCTTAGAATATATAGGCTATGCATTTGAATTAAAATTATTCGAAACAAATTTGAGCTTCCTATAGTTTGGTTTGTAAGGGTTAGTTATGTTTTTACGAGTTGATCACGGACTGATATCAGTTAGAGAACCATTGAAAACGAGCAGGGAGTACTGGACAGCTGCTGTTTCATCCTAGTTTGGGAATCATCGGTAGTACGCACCCACCAACAGGGTTAGAACCCAGGACCTTCCGGTTACAAGGCAAGCTCATATACCATTCAGCCACTGGGACCCGATTCAATGGCTCGTGAATTCTAACTTCTACCCATTCGTGATTTAGCGCGACCCGAACCATTGTCGTTGGTGGAGCGTCCATCTACACACGTGACATCTAATTTGTTGGGGTCGCGCTAAATCACGAATGGGTAGAAGTTAGAATTCACGAGCCATTGAATCGGGTCCCAGTGGCTGAATGGTATATGAGCTTGCCTTGTAACCGGAAGGTCCTGGGTTCGAATCCCAGTGAGTGCGCAGTGCCGATGATCCCCAAACTAGGATGAAACAGCAGCTGTCTAGTACTCCCTGCTTTCAATGGTTATCTAACTGACATCAATCCGTGATCAACTCGTAAAAACAAATTTGAGCACTTTTCATTTCCTTTACTGCTCAATGTTGACTTTTAAATCCCAGTGGGGCATTATTTTTAAAGAAGCATTTCTGTCAGTGTTCTTATCTCTTATTGTGGTATACTCACTGAGTATACTCTTTGAAACACTCTCGAGAAACGCCTTATTAGGAGTTATTTGTAATCATATTTACACTGAAAGCTTTTAACAACAGCTGCCTTCTCTCCATTATTAAGTACCAAATAGACAGAAATGGATTTGTAACAAGGAACTCTGAAAACGAACCAATCAAGAAGCTATCGATCAATAAATGTGTAAAGGGAAATTGAGATGGATTGGAACTAAACTGAGAAGACCCTTCATTGTCATCACACACCAGGTCGTCGGGTGGAACTCTAATGGATAACGACAAGTTAGGCTTCACAAGATGACATGGAGAAGACTATGTCAGGCGGAAATGAATGCTTGTGTTCAATTTTAGAGCCACTTAGTAAAGACTGGAGAGAACAAAGTGAAACACAGTTGGGCTTCTGAAGTCCTATGTTCCACCTGCAACCCAAGGGAATAATAATAAGCTTAATGGAGTATTTTTTTATTCCTTTACGCTCCCAGTGGAACATAGGGCTTCAGGAGGGAGGCTTGAAGTTTTGGTAGCAGTGGTATGTATTTTTACAGGATGTGGTTGCTAGCCTCATGTCCAGCCTTCCTTCTTAACCAGTCTTATTACTGGCTTACCGAGGTAAAGGAGTGCGTCGGCCGGGGATCGAAACCAGAACCACATGAGGCATGGTTGGCGAGCACTCTACCACCATGCCACCGACACGCAGCACATTTATATATATACGGTATACAATTTCCTTTTTCATGCTAATATTGTCCAGGTAAATCTTTCAGGATATCTATCTATAAGGGTGATTTTGAATTAAACCCTGTGATGTGGTGAGCGAGCTTAAATCGTCGGCGCTCTAGCTTATTGGCATTAAAAGAATATAGTAGCTAGTCTATGTTTTCTGACTAAGAATGAAAGATGTCCATGTACCTTAAAAGTTTCATGGTATTCGTAAGAAGTTTTGTACACATGGACATTTGGCAAAAACTGAAAGAGAACTTGTAAAATACACTGGTGAATAGCATTTAAGTTTGAAAAAACTTTAAGGATTGAGTTCAAACTAATAATTAAACTGCAGAACTAGTGAATGTCTTTATTTAAATTTTATTCTTATACTACACTAAGTGTCTATTCATCATCTGCGTTGGTGGCACAGCGGTTAGGACTCTCGCCGACCATACACATGGTCCGGGGTTAGACTCGCTGCCGACGCACACCTGATATCTATGGTCAGCCTGCAGAATTTGTGCTACCGATATCACATGGTGAAAATTCAATACTTGTACCAAAAATACTGTGTGGTTTCAAGCTATAATCAAAAACTAGATCAAAAAACTTTAAAGGAAATGCTTGTGAATAAGTCCAACTCTACAAAGTTAAGTCCCTTTCAATAAAATTGAAGAAGCTGGCTTGTAGATGAGTTTTTAGAAAGTTTCAAATTACAAACTTATTTTTTTCTTTTCACTCCTCAGGTGTTCAATTGTTCAAAGACAGATATTCGTCTGGAGAGAATATTTCACCAAGTGAGTGAAACGCATATTACTGTCAGTACCTGTAAATTTTCTTGTATACTTTTTCCCAGACGAATTATAAAAAGACAGTTGCAGCGAAAAAAAATTTTCTTTTCGACAAAATCACTATCAACTAGGCTGTACATTCGTGTATTTATGATAAATGGGTGTGAAAGTTCCAGAATAATTTCCGGTCAAGTGTCAAATTAATAAAATTACAATTAGGAATTAAAATGCCATAATAAACAGGGAGACGGATAAAACTCAAACAAAGTTGCATCATAATTACTGAGAAGATTGATATGTTGTGCAATTAGGGGTTAGAATTGTAGAAATAACAAAAACAGGCAAGATGTTAGGATAAAAAATCTAGTAGGAACCCTTGTGTTTTTCCTTTCATTCCCGGATGAATACATGGCTTCAAGACTTCGAGTTTCAGTAGCGGTGGTTTCATTATTTTTAACAGGATGGGATTACTGGCCTCAAGTGCCGAACACTCCCTCTTTTCCAAGCCTGATGAGATTTGGCAGTGTGACGGCCGAGAATCGAATCTACATCGTGTTCATGGTTGGCGAGCATTCTAGAATGTCTAGAAATCATTTAAAAGGGTTATATTGATTTATAAAATTCTCAGAAAAATAATGCTGCCTACTGATCCTGAAGTTATGTCATAATATATGATTACCTTAAAGTTGGATTATGGAAATAAGAATAGAACTTGTGCACTGTGGTGGTGTATAATTCCATTGTGGATAAAATCTATTTTAATAAGGTCTCACCGTGTTATACAGTAATATTTACTGAGGACGTTTCAAGCATAATTTATTGCTCATTACCATATTGAACTCTAAGCTAACTAATTCATGTGAAATGAAAAAGAAACTAAATGATATTCAATACAGAATACTGAAAAATGGTTAGGTTTGATATAACTAGTCTCTCTATACTCATATACCAATCAATAGGGCCTAAGAAGCAGTTTAAAGAGAACTAACTTTTGATCCGTAACTTAGTCCTAGGACAAAGCTGCCCATTGAGAAAATTATTTTAGGGATTCAGTTATGCCTAACATTTACTATCATTAAATCCCAGGTTAAAATATATAAACAGAAGATGTAGCTATGGAATTACCAGTGCCTCCAGTCGCAGCAGATATCCTTATGAATAGCTGGGAAAATATTGCTCTCAATACATTTAATCCCATTCCAAAGATACTGTGGAAATGTGTGGATGACACTTTGGTGGTGTTAAAAACAAAACATATCTCTAGCTTCTTCACACATATTAATTCACTAGTAAAGGAAATAAAATTCACATTTGAACCGGAAAATGAACAAGGAGAATTAGCTATGTTAGATTGTATAATTAAACGAACAGAAGAAGGTAAACTGCACACTAGTGTTTACAAAAAGCCACAGCATTTGAATAGATCTTTAGACTTTAATTCATCTCATCTGTTATCAGTAAAGATAGGCTGAGTTAAGTGTCTAACAAAGAGAGCAGTAGCACTAAGTAGTAGAAAAAAGACATAAATGATGAAATTAAACAGACAGAATAAGCTCTGGTGTTAAATAAATATCCTATAAAATTCATTAAGAAGATCGGGAAAGGTCGAGAGCAAAATAAAAATAATTTTGAAACTAGTAGTGATAACATAAACAAGAGAAGCATCTATAGTTTAACCGAATAAGGAGGGCACATCTGAGACCCCACGTAGGATTCTTAATCAAGCAGAATTTAGAGTGGCATTTAAACCGACAAACTAATTCATGTAGGACAAGCTGTGTAGGTTAAAGGACCCTGTCGGTTGACCCAATTAAACAAAATAGTATAATTTACAAAATACCTTGCAATGATTGTGAGTGTGGTCGACTGCATATGTCAAACTAGTAGATCGGTGGTAGTCAGATTGTCAGAACGTAAGAATTGAGCTATGGTTAGAATGACTGAACCCACCCCCGAAGATAAGTAATCTAGAGAAATGTTCAGCACTTACACTGTATGCATTAACACACAACCACACAACAGAATGGGACAGGATTAAAGTTCTAAGGAGTAATACAGGTAGTTGTAGACGGAGAGAGAAAGAGAGGTTGATTACTGAATCCTTTTTCATAGAATCTACACCCAACATGTGCAAAAGAAATGACTCATCACTCACAACGGAAATATGGAAAATACTACTACCAATCAAACCAAGCGATGAAAAATAATGGAATTATATAAATGAAGTTAGCAAGTTGTGTGAGTACCTTGATATGACTCTGAGCAATAAATTATGCTCGAAACTTGGTCATGAGTAAATATCTCTGTATAACACTGTGAGACTTCATCAAAATAAATTTTATCCACAATGAAACTGGATTAGAGAACTTTAAATTTCTAGATGACTTAATCTTTTATCAATGGTAACAGGGATGCTGCGACCAGGCCTCTTTTAAATCCGACAGAAAACAAATCAAACAGAGTTTCACTGTCTATTTACTTTCAGAATTTAACGCCTATAACGGTAAAACATAGTTTAGCGTCGCTTAGTTTATCAGAAAATTAATCAAACGATTGTAGGTGTATGAGCACAAATTTCAAGTTCCAATTTTATTGTTACTTGACATATCGCCATAATAACAAGAGACACCAGTATTTTTGTGACATCTGCCTTGTACAGATATTATTTCTACTATTTTTGTGCTTCAGGTGCCTTCAAATTGTTAAGAAAATGTAGTGTGACTCTGTTCTACAACAGACGAAGCCCAACATTTCAAGAAGGCTTCCGCTGCATAACAAAACATTTTACTAGCAGTAAAGCTGTCGAATCTGTTAAAAAATTTGGAAACTACCTTTAGCTCTTATCACACTCAGCTTCGAAGAGGATTGAGGGAGGAATTAATCAATACTGAAAAATAGATTATCGCAGAGAAAAATATTCGATTATTGCATTCACTATATTGATGGCATTAGCGATTTTCGCAAACACTTTACACTACTTCTAAGTAGACAGACATGTTTATTAAAAATTATGTTAGTGAATATATGAAATAATAGAGATTTGTAGCTCAGGTGGATGATTTGCAATTTGTAGTGTTCTCTGAGCTGGTTGGTTTAGTTGCGGAGCTAACAACGAAATCCATGACTGACGTTTCGTTTTGCTTGGAGCTCATTACCTTAACAGACCAACATTTTTTTCTCAAGTCATGGTGTTTCTACTGCAACTCAAACATGGCATCTATCATCGAAAACTCCACTAGCTCAGTAGATAACGCTGATGACAATTAATTTAATTTTCACAGATCAAGGCTGGTTGGAATGATATCTAAAATTCGGAATTAGAATTTAATTTCGTGTCACCTTCAGTGACTTGTGAAACAAGTTTACTCTGAATTGTGGACAAATAAGTTAATGTACTCCAAAAAATTCAAATAGAGATAACGATATTACTTCCTGTCCGTAATTTATGAAGTAAAATTATCCTTGTTTTGTAAGTTAATTTAAAGACGATACTTTCGAACAATAATCATCATTTCGTTTTACGCTGATTGAATTTCTACTTTTCAAGGTTCAACATTGTGTATTCTCTTTAAATGGCTTCCCAAATTTGGCAACGATGATATTATTTTGTCACAAAGTTTATGATTGGTTAGCGCTTGATGAATGTCACATAATTCTACTGCATGCTGAAGGTGAAGAAGCCAAAGTTCGTTTACTTCTTCTAATTCTCGCACTGAATGCATTCTATGGATCGCTTGACAAGTAAGTTAAGTTATGTATATATAGGCATTATTTTGCAAGCTTAACTTAAGGGAAAGTTTCTGCCCTAAATAAAGTGCTTATCGAAGGTAACATGCAAATTAATTATAATTGTTTCAGCAGTTTAAGATGGGCAGTCATACAGTAAAGCCTAAATAACCCCAGTTTGTGTGAACGCTACTTGAAACAAACAGAACGAGAAATTTCCTGCTACAATTGGCCACACATAACAGCGTAAAAATATGAAAATGAAATTTCAAATGTTCAACTTGTGAGCTTATGAAGCATGATTTAGTGTCACAAAATATCAAGAACTTTGAAGCCGTCCAAATAAACACCTCGTAAAATTTTTACTAATTTATGATTTAATGGCAAATATTTAGACAATATATTGTAACAACAGAAGACAAGGGCCAGGCAACAGATAGTTTATTAAGGAAAATCAACATGTACATTATTGTAGATTATTGTTAGTATAAAATACAGTCTTTTGATTGGTTGTTTCTCACTGAAAGTTAACATTGCATCTCTTTGTGGCTGTGTCAGATCATCCGTATGCTAACTATATCCGCCTACGCAAAGCCTTTGTTCTCATTTTCTCACCACCAATATTGGGGACATAAACATTGACGTCAATTACTGTCTACCAACTTTGGTTAGCAGCCAGCTCTCACCACAATATAACTTATAATAAGGGTTTTTTATATCTCCCAATGAATGCAAAACAAAACGATATTGTTTTTGTTGACATTTCGCTATTTAATGCTAATAGATTTATCAAAGTATTATTAAACCAGAGTGTACAAAATCTCAACTTTCATATAACAACTTAATCATCGTTCCTCAGCATGGGGGCATTTTTGCGTTGTCAAGTTGGTCAATTGGTCAAGATAACAAAACCAGATGTAGATTGTCGGATTTGATAAGTGTATAAAATCATATTCAAGAAGAAAAACCACTCCAACAAATATCTGGACTTCATATAATCACACCCCATCAGCACAAAAGTCTCAGTTGTTTCAAGTCTTCTTAGACGGGCGCACTCTTTGATAACGGATGAGAAAGAAAAGGAAGAAGAAATATCAAACATTACTGAAACTCTCAAGCAAAACAACTACCCAAAGAACTTCATCAACAAAATCAACAAAAACATTAAGTATGGTCGAAAACACATTCCGAAAATATGGACCTCAACACTTGTCATTTCATATAGAGCAGAGATGTCAGACGATATCAGAAGAGTACTCAGTAAGCATGACATTAGAGGTTTCTTCAAAACATCAGACACACTACGAAACAACTTTGTCCACATAAAAGACCAAATCCCTAAAGATTCTCTATCTAATTGTGTCTATAAAATAAAATGCTTGAAATGTGATGCGATATACATAGGACAAACATCACGATAAATCAAAATCAGAAAAAATGAACACCGTAGATCATCTGTTCGACCATTGAGGAATCTACTTGAACTAAAAGAGTTTGAAAAATTATCAGCCATAGGACTACAAGCTATAGAATCAGGCCACAAAATTGATTTTGACAATATTGAAATAATCCAGAAAAGTTTTAGAAATCACAAATAACGTCAAATATCAGAAACAGTTCACATCAAATTGTCTGAAGAGGAATGATGAACTAAAACAGAATTTGACCTGGTCACAACACCCCCCTCCCTCATGAAATGACAAAATCAACACGAATGTGATAAATTTCATTTCATTTTACACACTCAACAAATCCGACAATCTACACATGGTTTTGTTATCTTTACCAATTGACCAACTTGACAACGCAAAAATGACTCCATGCTGAGGAACGATGATTAAGTTGTTATATAAAAGCTGAGATTTTGTGTAATATGTTACTCGTACCATTATCATAGCATAACAACGCTACAACACGCGTCGCTGGTACGGTATGTCATAAAACTACTTATTTACGATACCTATTCAATGTCTGAATGATCGTGCTCAATACCTTATTGACAAATAACAATAATTTGTTGAAAAGACCAACCCTGAATATCATCTTTATTTTCCACACTGGCCTTTGTCAAGGACATTTAAAAATAAAAGTTAATTAACCAATAGAATTGCTTACTTAAATCAATACAATTTTAGCCAATAAAAAATCGAGAACAAGAACAGTAATCACATAACGTAGTACTCCAGCAAAATGTTATGTTTTGTCTTTACATTCATCAAGGTAAATATAAACGTTGTTCAGACAAAGATAGAAAGAGACATTGTCGACAGCGAAATGACCTGGTCACAATTTGTTGTTTTCGTTTATAATAAAAATAAACAATGATAGGAAAAAAATACACGGGGAGGGGGGAACTTACATATTTTAGGACAGTGGAAATATAAAAAACACAAAGCTAAATACTTAATTTGAAAAGTATTTAGCCAACATAAGAATAAAGGTTCAGGCACTTTGTTATTGGCTCTTTTCAGCATTGTTCTCCTTACAGAGACAAATCTTCATGTTGTCGAGAAGCTGAGCATAGTGGTGACTAACATAAAAGTTAGGAAAATATTTTCAGAAATGTAGTTATATACTGCAGTTTGCTAGTAGTATATGCGTAATATGTTATGCGGAAGAAGAATATGTAAAGGTGCAAATAAATGAGTCGATAATTCGCAGTAGTCATAGACTAATGCATACATCTTCATGTTTTTAAAAAAAATTACATAAAGTATGCCTTAATGGTTACATAATCAGAGAAGAAGTCTTCAAACAAAACAAGGTTTAGAATTTAAATTTTATTTCCAGCCACATTGTGAAAAATTCATACCCCAGTCCCAATGGTTCGTCAATATTTTTCTATCCCTTTTATTTATCAGCACAATAATGTACGAAGATTTTATCAGCAGAGACACAAAAAGGAAGGTTTATCTAATTTCATAGGTGAAAATTAAACATGGAAGTGAATAAACCAGAAGCAGAAAGCCTTGAAATGTTCTGGTAGAGACTAATAATTATATGTTATCATTAGCTAGTTAATTATATGTTCTACATAAAGAACAGTCAATTTAAGTATTTCTCTTTTAAGTATTGGTTTTGTTGGGTTGGAGGATTTCATCATGAGCTGACATCAGTTGGAGAACCATTAAAAAACCTACAGGGAGTACTAGAGAACTGCTTCATACTAGTCTGAGACTCTTCGATAGTAGGCACTTACCAGGACCTTATGGTTACCTCAGGCAGTTAACCTTGGTTCTAGTAGGAAGGCGTGACTAGTAGGCTGCAGTAGGTTGAAGGTGGGGACGGGTACTCATAGAAGAAGACATTGTGAAGGGGTCACGCTATGTCATGAATTGACAGAAGCTAGAATTCTTGGGCTGGCCATCGGATTGGGTCCCAGTAGCTTAGTGGTCTACAAGCTTGCTAGCCTTGTAACCAGAAGATCCTGTATTCGAACCCCGGTGGTGGGTGACGATGAAGAGTCCTAAAATATAGCGAAACAGCCATCCATTATTTATCTTTGAATCAATAAATTGTTTTCAATATTTCTGACACAGAAAGATTACTCTTATCATTTATGTGTGATTTCACTAAGCAGTATAGAAGGGAAATGCTACTTTGACATGGAATATAAGAACTAGTTCTGCACACATTTTGTTGAATGCTGATATTCTTCATCTCTCTTCATTAGAAATAAAAGTGCTATTCTCAAACAAATGGTGAACCCAAATGTAGACTAAGTCAACTTAGATGTATTTACTAGACTTCAATACAAAACCAGATTGGTTTTCGCTATCATTTTTGAGGATTTCGTTTCTTCTCAAAACTGTATTTTCAGGTTTACTGTTTACATATATAAATATATATAAATAATATAGTAGCTCCCTATCTTACTTCACACTAATCCTGTGTACACTATAATCTGATTATAGTAGAAAAGACATAAAGGTATGAAATATGCTCCTTTATTTTTACAAACTCCACAATTTCTCAGTTAAAGACGGATATACCTGAATATCCTGTAATTCTTGATATCAATCAAAAACTCGTTCATTTATACTCAGGTTATTGTCAACAGTTTTCGAGTTTGAACACGGATTGATATCAGTTAAAGAACCCTTGAAAACCAGGGAATACGAGAGAGATGTTTCATCCTAGCTGTTTGGGAATCATTGATAGTACTCACCCATATTACGGGGTTCGAACCCAGGACCTTCCAGTCACAAGGGAAGCTCGTATACCATTTAGCGACTGGAACCCGATTCAATGACTCATGAATCTTAACTTCTATCAGTTCGTGATTTTGCCGCGATCACCTACCAATGTCGTCGGCGGGGATTCCATCCTCACTCACGACTGGATTGTGTATAACGGCACACAAATAGGAAAGACGTATACTTAGAAAGTGTATAACTCAGCTTGCTTCTCTCCATATTTACTAATCATATTATGTACTATTAGCCTTCTCTGATTTTGTTTGGGATGCGTTTGGTTTAACTGTGTAACAGAAAACTATGTCGGAACCTTGTAGTATGACAGATTCGTTATCTATATACGTGTGTATGAATGTTTAGGCTTCGAACTGTTTAGGTATTTTTCCAAAGCTGTTTATTTTAATGTATCACTTCAGTATTGCTTTATCAATCACAAATTTAGAGAATTTACACCTCTTGGAAAAGTTAAGTATTCAGTGGCCTTCAATACTTTCTAAAATTTTATAACGTCTGCCCACTTCAGAGTGTAGAGGTCTCTGTAACTGAAAAGATATCAATATACGTCTCAGATTAAGGAATGCATTCAAGATGATTAGTAACTTTGAATTCTGCAATTTTCGTCGATACATCTCGTATCTTAATGACACCGTGTACAAACAAACAAACAATTGCAGCGTAAATGTTGTTTTCAAAAACATTCCTAAGAATCGATTGTGATTGACTGTTGACAGAAGCATACACAAGTGAGAGACAGACAAAATATTTCATGTACCATTTAACTTTATTTGTAGTTGGAAACTGATGTTTTCAAACTTACCTTGCCTATTTTTAGATATCGTAATAACAGAAGTAACTCCCTAAAACGATACGTTACGTCATATTCCAATGGAATTTCACAAGCTCCAGTTGGATGGATGAGGTATGTCAACTTTGGTTTTTCACTCCTTATTTTCTGTTTCGTTTAACCGAAAGAAGTAAATTGATGTTCAAAAATAGTACGGTGAAGAATTGGCTATTTAGTTAGCTTATTCAATCAGAGAATAATCTGAATTGAGGAAATTAAGAAAGACGTGTCTGTAACCCTGAGAAAACTCCTATTGCATCCATATGTTAAGCCTTATTGACTCACAGCTTATGTTTGTGACTCTACCACTGAGTTTCTCGAAAGTTAAGGATATACTACAAGAATTCTCATCCATAACTTGTCACCAACTGAATTCTACTGAAAGTTAAGTGATAACTGAACATTAAAATTAGATTGATAAAAGTATACTACTCTAAAGTTATTTAGTAGAATGAAATAATTAAGTAAAATTATTCACTCAATCAATGTTATTGGAAAACCTAACAATAAATTGTATCACTAAAAGAATTTATTTAAAATGTCATTGTTTAAAATGTGTGGGTGAACATTACTTGATTATTTTTTCCATGTATAACTAACTTTATCGGCAAACAGTAACACTTTTAAGATTCGCTTTTAATTTTGACACGAACTGAAAGAAAATTTAGTATCTTTGTCCGAAAATAACATTTATTCGAATTCTTCATGAACATTAGAAAGCATTTGAAATAAACTTAACATTTTTAATGAATTATTACACTCCATTTTAAATGCTAATTATACAGAGGCTGAAGTAAAACGTCCTGTTTCTTCTAATCACCTAATAATTCATAAGACAGGATTTGATTTACTGTTCTGACTGTAGGCAAGTCAGTGCTACAACTGTGATTTAGTTAGTGATGCTAAAAAGTGGCCGTTTGTTATTTTGTTCTATTTAGAACACCCACCACCAGATTTCTACCGTCATAAGTGTCTCAGTAGTCGATAACTGCCTAACGTTTATTGATCGCGTGGTGAGCCCTCAAGTAAGGAGGAATGCTGTTTTCCGTCAGCTATATTCATCTCATCAGGATGTCACTAGGATAACAGTAGTCTCTATGTGTATTGGCCGAATTTAGATAATGAATTGGAAAATACAACCTGGGGTTGTTGCAGATGTGCATAAACTACTAAGCTACTAGTGGAAGCTTTTTGCTAGCCCATTCCAAGAGAAACAGTTCCTGGTAATAATTGATGCATTTTAAAATTGGTCAGGAGTTTTTATCGTGAAGAATGTTTCTGCAACAGCTATAAACAGAAGACTAAGAAAAGTATTCTGCCATTTTGGACTGCCTGATTTAGCTGTAACCGATAATGGAATGCAGTTTACATCAAGTCAGTCCCAGCAATACTGTCAGGAAAATAGCATTCAGCTTGTTCGATGTCCACCTTATCATCTACAGTCGAATGGTCAAGCAGAACGTTTTGTTGATACACTCAAACAAACGATTCTGAATGTAAGGGAGGGAGTGACGTTAGAAAAAGTACTTCAAACTTTCCTTTTGGATTATCGATCAACGTCTAATCCATTGACTATCAGGGGACTTTCAGCTCTGGAACCTTTAGTTTTCTGAATGATTTACTTCCGAGACTTAGAAAGGAAACATCAGGAAACACGAAGGCGGAAGAACAGTACAATAAACATCATGGGAAAAAACTCAGACATTTTTCGGTTGGTGACACTGTATGGGTTCGTGATTTTCCAACTGCTACACTTACATGGACAACAGAAGTAATCGGAGATAAATTGGGTAGTGACATACATAGTGAAGGTCAGAGGTCTAATTTGGCCCGAGACGTATAAACCACATCAGGAAACAAGGTTTTGATAATACAAGCAACTGGTGTTAGGAAAGTTTACCCATAGACATCCTATTCAGAGAAACAACTATAGGAAAACCATTTGAACCACAGTAACTGGTGCTAAGCAGATCTCAGGGGTTACACAGACCTGCGAAATATATTTAGGTGGACACTAAACTGAGAACTTACTAAATAGGAGAGCTGTTACGACGTACAAACTATGGTTTAAATTTCTGTGGACGTGTAAGCGATGTATCTACTCTGTATTTTTGGATAATAAACATTAGTGTTGTTACGGCTTTCGCAGTTAAAAGTGACTTTTGTGTCCCGCTGAATGTGGAGAATATTTTCAACTGATGATTATAGTATCGTGTCTGAAGGCTCATTCTAGTCAAGTTAGACCACAACCACAAATCAGTAACACTCTAATATAAAAAATTCAATAGAACATGAGTCATATGGTAAGTAATCAAGTAAATGGGGTGAAAGTTTAAGCCGCAAGGGCAGATTTGGTTTATGCTATCAATATCGTCAGTTAGTGCCATATGCTTCATAACCATGAAGAATCGGCATTATTCAATGGGCATTAAACTCCATTTTAATCGTGAATGCTATGTTAGTATCTTGTCAGTAACTAATAGACTCTGTGAACAGTATACTTGAGGTTTCATCTTTGACTTATTTAGAAGAGCTGTGAAAATACATTGGCAGGCATTGTAATTTAGCCTTACTGTGCTAACTGATTTGGTTAACCATGTTGCGTGTGAGAGTTCTTACTTCACAATGACACAGAATTGGGTTCAAGCTGCATAGAAAATAAAAAGACTTTGCGTGCATATTCCAACTTAATGACTATCAATCTCTTTCGGAGTGGTTCTCCTGGAGATTTTGATCCAAAAATCAAGACCAAGTCGAAACCAGTCGAGAACCAGAAAAGAATCTTTAGCTGGTTTAAAGTGACTTTCTGTTCACTAATATTACTGCATTAGACCTCAATATTTTCAATCCAGCTGCTTTATTCCATTTCATCTTATTGTTATTTTTTTATTTAGATATGCTGGATATATGAAAATGTTCTCTCCAACCAACAGTCTAAGCATTTTACGTGCTCCCTTGCATATCTATCAAATATATTTGATAAATTTCCCAGTTTTTGAAAAGAATAAATTAAGATTATACTTTAAATTTTACACCGGTTCCCCACCTGTACATTTGTATACAACTGAAATTCAGTAAGTCTTGTTATAAAGTTCGTAATATTTTCATTTCAATGGTGCAAATATCGTTAAAACTTTTCATGCACAGAATGCAATAAGCATACCTTGCTGACTTTGGCAAGATATGCGTACTGTATCAATTTATTGGTGACTAAATGGTAGAATTTATTACGCAATATACTGGTAATACCTAAGAAAATTATAATCGAATATCCATGGCAAACAGAATTACCTAAATAACTGTTTTGTGGAAGGAAACCAGACTACAAGCATATCCATAGTTTAAAAACTATAATGGTGATTGTTGACATTGGTAATAGGGTTTCTTTCACGGATTGAACATTACTTCAAGTCGGTATGCTTTGACAGAGCATAGCAACAGAGGGACAAATATCGGGGTAATAGATGGGTTAAATGGAGATATTACGAACAGAACAATCATATCCAAATTACTGAAGCCTTTCAGAAACTCGACTGTAAGGGACTTCGGTCATATTACATCGAATCTTCACTCCCTGATTCTTAGTATATATCTTCTTACATGGTTCAGAGAAGCAGTCATTGACTCCATCGACTGACACCAACCCAATCATATTTCATGTAACATTGTGCGTTGTCATTATAGCATATGTCGTAGCTTCAGAGGCCTGTCGACTGACTTACAGCAATGCTTCACATAATATTAATAAATGAACAAAGGCAGTGATCGTCAAAAGCACTTGATTGTCTCGTATCTTTTAATTTCATCAGACACATCCAACAATCGTAGAGTAGGATGAACCAAACTCATCGGCACCATCCACACCCTTCAATGGATAATCAGGTATCTTATCTAACCCAAAGATGACACAAGTTAGCAAAGTTTACAGGTTTTTCATTAGGTACATCAGTACAAATACCGGTTGTTTTCTTATCAGAAACAACAAATGCTCATTCTGCTTTGGGTTCTGACTAATTTCTCCAATTACTGATTACACTACAGCTGATCATAGAAATAGCCATTAGATCACTGGCAGAAAATCTTAAGCCTGTTCATCAAGATTATACAGTATACTGCGTTAAACTGTTGCTCGCATGTGAACACTTTTACTCATTTAATGATATCATTAGTAAAATCCTATTTTCTGTCAATAACTTCTGAATACATACGGCATTTGGAATAAGTTTGAAAAAATTTAATTTTAATATTTTAGCTTAAATTCATGGTTGTGATAGCCTCATTCATTTGAACAGAGAAACATATGAGGTCTTAAGTTGTTGAGATTTTATGCGTCTTTAGGGCGGTTATTGTCGAGAGCAATCATCTGGAACAAAACCAGTGAAAAACAGAATAGTGAACAACTTTTTCGTCCACTTCAAGCTTACTTATAAGCGTGTATCTTCCAACCTATAGATACATATCACTCTGAAAAAGTTCCGTTAAGAACTTATTATCATTCAGACCCAAATACTGAAACCAAGGAATTGCCGCCCTCCGATTTCGCCTTTTCATAGTATCATGGAGTTAGGGTAGTCGGTGAATAACTCTACTCCTGTACAAAAAATTTTAAAAAAAAACTGTTGAGCAAGAGTGTAAATATTCTTCTGAACTCGTGACGAATTAGTTATTGCCTGATGGATTTCATTACAAGTATTAACCAAATGGAAAACTCCCTAGAGTCAACACTCTTAAGGAGGATCGTTGCATAATGGAAAGAAATCCCCCAAAATTCATTATGTCTTCGGGATGTCGTTAACAGTATCTGTGTTGCAGTACAACACATCTCAGGTTTGATTCTAATAGTTGTGTGGTAACTCTGAAAAACACGATTGATCGTTAACTCGAAAGATTACTCTCTGGAATGGAGTATACCTGTCATCAAGATTCAATACCAAAAGACGTTTCTAGAAGATATTTGAAGTGACTCTCAGAAATTCTATGACTACCAGGTTTTATCTACACAACTCAGACACAGATTCACAAGTTTTCATTTCGAAATAGACATGGAAACGATCGGAGCAGTACCATTTGTTGTAATTAGATAAATGTCATGGATGAAATGCTAGGGATATTTTCGTATCTTGCTTGAAGATACTGTAACGATATCACACGTTAAATTCGGTAGTTAAATTGAATCTGTAATAGATTTTCGTGATACTTTCTGAGTGACTCTATTTTGGAAACTAATACAGTAACGTGCTGTGCCAATGTTTCCAAGTCATGTTCTAATTTCCAGAACGAACTTCGTTCTAACTGAACACAGTGACTAAAACAAAAAATATGAGTCGAATTAACTGGTCTCATACCGATGCATAACTCAGTCGAGTGAAAACCGTTATTAATATCACAACATTACTGAGGATACTGAATAAACTCCTTACAGTGTAAACTCTTAAAATATATTTAGTATTTCAGTATTATTTTTATTCTATTTCTTTTTTTCAAGTGAATATGAACGAACCACTTCCCCAAGTCTTTTATTAAATCTCCAATCCAGCGCACAACATAATGTTGGTTTACAATTGAGCGGAGATATCACCATATTAGCTTATCATTCCAGGAGTTATCCATTAAAACGAATTCGTTTATTCCGGTAAGTCAGTGAGAATTTTAATGTCTACCGACTATTGCCTACTTGAATTAGTCAAGGTATATTACCTTCGCAGTGGTAAATTATTCTCCTTATTCCATATTAGTTTGTTTATTAGATATATCACACAGTGAAACAGTATTATTTACTTGATGACTTTTCAAGAAGGGGACCTCCCAATGTTATATTGCAGCGTAAAAAGGAAAGAAGATGGGAAGTAACACTAGGTTTACAGGAAACCCACACATTCAAACAGATATTTGGACTTCCGATCATCCCATCCTATGTCAGTAAAAATGTTTAAGTGATAGAGCACAAAAATTAATTAGTACCAAAGAAAATCTAAAACAGGAGCTGATACATATAAAAGAAGCCTTGAAACTTAATAATTACCCGGATAAATTAGTCAGGAAATATGTAAGGAAATGTAAAAATAAAACAAATAATGATAATAGCGATAGTGATAATAACAATAATAATGATAATGATAATAGTAATAATAATAGTAATATTGATGACGACACCAACAATAAGGAATCTAAATCATCAGTAGTAATTCCATACAAGGAAGGAACCTCGGAAGCCTTACGCAGAATTCTTAACAAGGCAGGAATAAAAATAGAATTCAAACCCACAAACTCAATTAGAAACAAGCTTTGACGGTTAAAGGATCCTGTAGAGCCTTTAAAACAAAACAATTTAGTTTATCTAATACCCTGATGGAATGATTGTCAGGTCAAATACATAGGTCAAACTAGTAGAACAGGGGCAGTCAGACTAGCTGAACATAAAAACTTAGTAAAATCTAGATTGGTTGACCCGAATAAGATAAGAAATCTAGAGAATAGTTTAGCTATACCACTCACTACGTGCAATTACACACAACAATACAATAGGATGGGATAGGATGACAGTTTTAAAATCTAATGTCACAGGGTGGAGGGAGAGATTGATAACAGAAGCTTTGTTTATCGAATCAACTGCAAATACATGTAATGGGAATGATTCAACACCTGTCCCGGATACCTGGAAAATTCTACTACCCATACGACAAATAGGAGAAAACAAAGAAAACTATAAAACTCAAGTTTTGAAGTCGTGTGATTACAATTGATATGATTATGAACAATAAATTGTGTTTGAAACTTCGTCATCCAGTGAATAATACTGTTTCACTGTGTGATATATCTAATAAACAATAATATGGAATTACTTACTACCACAGTGCCCAAGTTTTACACATATATTAATATTCTCCTTATTGTTGAAACAAAGCTTACTAGACTTTACAGTCAACTTTTAGTAAGTTTATTGGATGGTTATGTAACATAACTGACTATATTACAGTCAGGTACTTCGAATTGTCATACCATGTTCTTCTACAATACTGCATTTACAAAGTAGGAATTTTAATTCCCTTATTCCTGATTGGAATTTCTTCTATGCCAAAACTGCTGGCAGAAATAGGGATAAGTGCATCATTACTGTGTGTATATTTTAAGGAAACTGCATCGAAGTTGATATGACACAATACTTTTATAAAACAAAGACTCATTAGGAATCATATACTGTTTCGTGAATTGATATCAGTTTATTCGAAGGAGCAGTCACCTGTATACGTTAGCTGTTTCAGTCAGCTAAACTCTGAACCTGCAGCATTTAGCTAGTTACTATGAATTACTAGGGGACTTCAATGTGTTTTCATTGAAGTCATACTTCCAAACAACGTTAAGTGTTTGGAATATTTCAATTTAACTGCTCCTGTGGAGCCAGTTACATAGGCCGTACAATTAGGCGTGTTTCTCGTCGAATTTCCGAAAATCACCCTGCCTGGTTAAGCAAAGGACAAACAAAATCTATTCGCAGAGCTATTCTATCTCATCTTGTGGATACAGAACACAAGATTGACGTTAACCATGCTTTCAGGGTCATTTACCGCATACCTACGAATCTCAGTTTTGCCTTAAGAGTTCGACAACTAAATATTGTTGAGGCTGTGGGGATCCGTATTAACAAGCCTAATTTATGCATCCAAAGGAAGTTAGTTCAGACATTATCATTACCTTGGCCATCACGGTTCTAATGATCCTCAAGTTTTTGTAGAAATTTCTTTAATTTTACTTGATATTTTATTTACTATTATATTGTTATTATTATTATAATTTAAGCATCTTTAATGAACTGTAATTGCATTGATCATACTTTACAAATAGATATTATTTTAAAAACACTAATATTGTTATTGACTACTAATCTAGAATATTCTATGTATATAAACATATATATAATTGTACATCCGGAAGAGGAATTTATTGAAAAGAATATTCTTTGCTCGATTATTTTGTGTTTTATATTTCATGTTGAGAAATTAACATCCATGTATGTAGTGGAATAATTCAGTTTTGATCGCAAACTTCTGTTACAATACTAATAATTCAGGTTACCGTTAAGAGAAAGATCCTACACTGTGCAACTCCAGTCTGTTTACAATTTATGCAGACATTCTACAGTGCATACCATTTACTGATATCCAGTAAATACCACTAGGAAGAATAATAGTACAAACGAAGTGACTATTCAATTAAACCTTATTGAAAGATAGATTTATCTTTCAAAAAAGTATTTTATTTTCATTTCACTAAATGATATCTGTCAAAATAAGATCATTCCAGAACATCACATCAGCTATGATTTCCAACATACATATATCTACTTCTCTCACACTGTGAATTCCGGGAGCAAGTAACTAGTACAGAAATACATTTCATGAAAAAATTACTGTATATAAATGATTGATTTGCTGTCAGAAAACGTATCATTCTCCATACTATTTTTATATATTTTATTCCTTTACTTCCCCAATGGTGGTTCAATGGTAGAATGCTCGCCTGCCACGCGGGCGGTCCGGGTTCGATTCCCGGTCGACGCACTCCGCTTTGAGCGTCGGTGGCATAGTGGTTAGGACGCTCGCCGACCATGCACATGGTCCAGGGTTCGATCCCCGGCCAACGCACTCCTTTACCTCACTAAGCCAGAAATAATAGCTGGTGAAGAGGAAAGGTTGGGCATGAGGCTAGCAACCCCATCCTGTAAAATAAACACTGCTACAGAAATTTCAAGCCACAAGCTTGAAGCCCTATGTTCCACTGGGGAACGTGAAGGAAAAAAACTTCCCCAATGGAACATAGGGCTTCGAACTGGAGCTTTGAAGTTTCGGTTGCAGTGGTGTTTACTTTTACGGAATGGGGGTGCTAGCCTCATACCCAACATTCCCTCTTTATCAGTCTTATTACTGGCTTAGCGACGTAAAGGAGTGCGTTGGCCGAGGATCGTACCTCGGACCACATGAGTGGTTGGCAAGCATTCTACCGCTGTGCCACTGATGCACTCACACTCAATAAACCTGTTTTATCTTTACTTGTTATAGTAATAAATGAAAATGTCAAGGGTTCAAGAGTGCATACTAACTCTCTTTTTCACCAAAGTCACTAAATATTTCACTTTCAGTATGTTGGTTTAAATTTATAAGTTGGTAGTCTCATATATGTGAACTCTAATGTTATTTGAGCACTGAAATCTTCAGCTGCTTGGTAACGTCTAATAACACTATGCTAAAAGTTAACGATTCATAAAACTATTTACACTTAAATTTATGTTTTGTAATGTCACTGAGTATAAAAAAATACTAATTTTGAGTGAAGCTTGGAATATTATCTACTATTTATAAGCATCCACTATGATATTAGATAGTTGGAGGCAATCGGCAGGAAGCCTTGCTTCACCTAGGTTTCGTGGTAACGTCTCTGACTGCAGGACTGGGTGACGCGGGTTTGAATCTCAGAAGGGATATGAGTTCCTTCAAGGTTGCAGATACGCCTTGCTGACTGGCCAGTGCCAACTAGCACGAAACCTAGGTCCAAGGCTTCCTGCCGATTGCCTTCAACTATCTAATATCATCAAATCAATGTGCACCGTGATGGCAAGCTACCTAGAATGGTGGCCACATTGAAAAGCTTGACTGATAGAATTCAGTCTGCACCAAAGAAAGGACTAGACACGTTGCACTAGTTACTAGTGTCCGATCAAAAACATCCATTATGTTGGTTCCTATTTTCTCACTGGTTATCTCATCCAACCAGCACTAGTTTAGTGTTTTATCAAGATAAAAATGTACCAGAAATTAGAAGAGAAATGTATGAGTAATATTCAAACCAACCTTTGATTAGACACTATGTAGTAACTAATGTCCTTGGCGTTGGTGCATACTGAATCACATCAGTCAATTTCGCTCAGTGGTGAAGTCTCTGACTGCAGCACAAGAAGCACAAAACCTGAGTCTAAGGCTTCCAGCCGATTGCCTCCAATCATCTAAAAACAGTTCAAATCGATTTGTTGGAGGATTTCATCTTGAGCTAACATCAGTTTGAGAACCAATGGAAAACCTGCAGAGAGTACTGCAGACAGCTGTTTCATCCTAGTCCTGTGGGACTCTTCATCAGCACGCACCCACCACCATGGTTCGAACCCAGCACCTTCTGGCTAGCAAGCTCGTAGACCATTAAGCCACTGGGACCCAATCCAACGACCAGCTCATGAATTCGAACTTCTGCCAGTTCATGACACAGCGAGACCATATAGCATTGCCTTCTTTGATGAGTTACTGCCTCACCTTCAACCTGCTTCATTCCACTGGTCACGGCTTCCCAAAAGAACGTCAGGTTAACTGCCTGAATAGGGCCAGTTGCTAGTGGATGGGGGCGTACTGATGAAGAGTTCCAAAGGGCTAGGTTGAAACAGCTGTCTAGCAGTACTCCCTGCAGGTTTTCCAATGGTTCTCTAACTGTTGTCAGCTTATGATGAAATCCTTCAACCAATCAAACAAAGTCCCTACAAAAACCATACTTGAAAATCAAATCGATTTCTGTGTTTGATGAAAAAACTCTAAAATTGTACTTTTCAGAAGTCAGACCACTTTCGTGAATCTAATATCATTATCTTTTCCAATGACTTCTCTTTCTGAATGGAGATAGCGATATATTTTAGCACTTTTGGAAGTGTCTTGAATAAATTCAGTTATTAAAGGGAAGAGTGATTAAGAAAAGAAATATATTCGTTTGTATTTAGGTCTTTGTCTGTTTACCTGCAGTAATATGTGTAGATCTCACGATTAGTGACGAAATACCGCTTTAGTGACAGTAGGTTAGTTAGCAAACATTAGAATAAAACTATAGAGAGATCAGCACACAGCTTGATAAGAAGGGTAGTTATAGGTATTCTAAATACTAATCATCACATTTCGAATCACCTAAAGGGTAGATGATTGTTTCATGATGTACCAAGCACTTCATGATGTTTTTTTTAATCAGGAAATAATATCAATGAAAAAGGAGTGTAATGACCTTGTGTAATGACGCTGACTTTCCATAATACTCCATCTTAGTGCTTCATCTATCTCCCTTTCCAGTAAGACAACTAGAAATAAAGTTCTTCCCTTTACCTACCTGGGAAGCATCGTTTCAACTACAGACGGAGGGAACTGACGAGGATATCAAAGCGACGATCGGGAAAGCAAGGCAAGCTTTCATTTCTCTCAAGCCTGTGTGGAGATAGATCAACAGCACTCAGCATGAAAAACAAGATGCGAATTTTCAAATCCAGTGTGAAGTCAGTGCTACTATACGGATCAGAGAATTGGGGCCGCTTTACGAAGGGCACTTCGAACAAACTACAGATCTTCATCAACAGCTATCTTCGCTCAATACTACTCAAGATCAGATGGCTAGAAAAGATCAACAACAGGGAGGGATCTCTGGGAACGAACCAACCCAACAGGAACCGATTGTGCAAGAAATATGCAGGAAGAAATGGAGGTGGATTGGCCATACTCTGAGAAAATAAACCATCAAGTGACATCGCACGCCAGGCCATCACTCGAGTGGTACCCAAATGGGAAGTAGAGAGTTGGTCGTCAGTGTGAGAGTGACATGGAGGAGGTCATGCAAAGAGGAGGTGAAAGTATGTGGGCAGACGTGGAGCCAGGTGAAAACGTTGGCACAGAACCGAACGCAATGGAGACGTGCGGCTGAAGCCCTATGTTCCTCTAGGAACTAAAGGAAACAATAATAAATAATAATAATAATCAGTGATGTGTATGATAGTCAGATAAACCCTAATGAACATAATAGTAACATTTTTTTAATGAAAATTCATCTGATTTCTGACAATACTCACTGGCGACTGGCCCTATTCAGGTAGGTAGTTACCTGGGGTTCTAGTGGGAAGTCGTGACCAGTAGGGTGCAGCAGGTCGGGTGTGAGGACAAATACTCGCCAAAGACATTGGCTAGCGGTTGCGATATGTCGTGAATTGGCAGAAGTTGGAATTCATGGACTGGCCATTGGATCAGGTCCCAGTGGCTTAATGGTCTACGAGCTTGCTAGCCTTGTAACCAGAAAGTCCTGGGTTCGACGCGTGGATGCGCACTGACGAAGAGTTCCAAAGAGCTAGGATGAAACAGCTGTGTGCAGTACTCCCTGCAGGTTTTCCAATGGTTCTCTAACCAATATCAGCCCATGATGAAATCCTGAAACCAATTATACAAGTGTTAATCGGTAAATGAAAATAATTTTCAACAGACTATTAGTTTCTTTCTAGATATATGACATTTCAACCACCCTTTCATTTACATACTTTTATGAACTGTCATTCCGACCCATTACTGTAGACTTCAACAGATAAAGTACTTTGTGTATAAATATAAATCAACAATTAATAGCACAAGATTTGATCACCACTGAATTTGTGTCAACACATTCCTCTTTCTTCTTGTTTAATAGATGCAAATCCAGTTAAGGATCGAGAGAGAGAGATCATTGACATTTCTGGTCCCTTTTTATTTATTATACAACTACCAAAAAAACCAAAAGTTATCTAACCCAAATTTAAATTGTTTAATTAATAGTCAGGTTTATTAAAACTCATTTATCATCGGTGCATTCGTTTTCACCTTATTCATGTGTTTATCACAGGGAAATATGCAGTGTACGCGTGTGTGTACTTGCGTTTAGGAGCATAACTTGAAACAATAAGAACTAACCAGCTGAAACATCCAAAAACCAGGTCTTCATGTTCATTCAACAACTAGATAAGAAAGGCAATAGTTTATTTCTAAGTCGAAGGAATGAATTAAAGAGACTGGAGATCATTAATTATTGCCACAGATTGAATGCACTGAATTTGAAATAATACAAAAAAAAAGAACCGGGGTTTACCTACCTACCTACCTACCTTTATTATGGACATTTATTACTACGATATCATTACAGGGCAAATTTTGTACCGCTTAAATCTCTCTTCATACAAACCACTTTATTTCAGTACTTTTGTTAATAAAATTTGGTTTAGAAAGAGTGGGAGCAAAACATTCTATATGGAAGATGATACCGAAACTACTTATGCTGTAAACATTTAATGGTTTAAATATCAATAAACTAAATAGAAGACAAGATAAGTTGTGAAACAAAAGAAATGTGCATTGTTTGTATACTCTCAGTTGATTTAAAACTAGATTCTGGTTCACCTGATTCGTAAAACTGTTAAATGTTCCATTTAAATGATAGGGATTCAAACCATGGATAGAATACTAATGTACGAGCATATTGTCGTTATTTTACTCTCTTCAGATAACTTCACCAATGCCTCTAAGAATCGCATCACTTATGATGATTTCAAAAACTGATGCCTTAAATGACCAGTGATGGCATGCAATCGTTTTCATAGTATCCTACTATTTGCCTTTATCGCCTTATTTGTTTATAGTCAGTTAGTTTAGGGGCAATCGAATCAGAATTTCTAGTACTGTGTATTGCATAATATAAAATATAAAAATGGCATTCAAACCCACAAACTCAATTAGAAACAAGCTTTGTAGGTTGAAGGATTCTGTGGAACCTCTAAAACAAAACAATTTAGTTTATCTAATACCCTGATGGAATGATTGTCAGGTCAAATACATAGGTCAAACTAGTAGAACAGGGGAAGTCAGACTGGCAGAACATAAAAACTTAGCAAAATCTAGATTAGTTGACCCGAATAAGATAAGAAATCTAGAGAATAGTTCAGCCATAGATAGCACTACATGCATTTACACACAACCATACAATAAGATGGGATAGGATGACAGTTTCAAAATCTAATGTCACAGGGTGGAGGGAAAGATTGATAACAGAAGCTTTGTTTATCGAATCAACTGCAAACACGTGTAATAGGAATGATTCAACACCTGTCCACCCAGATATCTGGAAAATTCTACTACCCCAACGACGACAAATAGGAGAGGACAAAGAAAACTATAAAACTCAAGTTTCGAAGTCGTGTAATTATAATTGATATGATTACTAACAGTAAATTGTGTTCGACACGTCATCCAGTAAATAATACTGTTTCACTGTGTGATATATCTAATAAACAAACTAATTTAAAATATAAGTTTACTGGGAGAAATGTAGGTAAGTTAGATCTTGTCAAAGATATCTTTTCCTCTAGATTCATGATTCTTAAAAATGCTAGATCTTGATTTTACGCATCTGGGAAAATACAGATGTTTTGCTAGACTTTTAAGTAGCATTTACAAGAACCTATTACCAGAATCATCAAAGTTATTACCTTTTGAATATACAAGCTGGTTAACGAAAATCAATCCGTATGAATGTCGAATCCTTCCAACAACCAGTTCATGAATTCCAACTTCTGCCAATTCACTACATAGCGCGACCAGTAGCCAATGTCTTCTTCAATGAGTTACTGCCCTCACCTTCGACCTTCTGTACCCTATTGGTCACGGCTTGTTTGGATTGTGTTTGATTGGTTACAGGATTTCATCATGAGCTGACATCGGCTAGATGTCCTGGGTTCGAAACCCTGTGGTGGGTTGGTGCGTGCTGATGAAGAATCCCAAAGGGCTAGGACGAAACAGCTGTTCAGTACTCCCTGCAGGTTTTCCAATGGTTCTCTAATTGATGTCAGCTCCTGGTGAAATCCTCCAACCAACCAAACTTAAATAACTTTAAATTATCATAACGAAAATTATATTTTCTGAATTTTTCTTACTATTATTTACTATTTTTTTCTATTTGGTAGACTTCATATACATTCCTGTCAAGGGATTGAGGATTCAATCAAATTTGTACAGAATGATTTTGATGAGATTTCTGAATGTAAGTTGATTCGTTTTATTTACTAAAGCTAATACTTTTGATTAGGTCGTTTAGATGTACGCAATGAATACCTAATTACAGAAAACACTATAGTATATAACACATTAGTGTATTTAGCAAATTTTAATTCTTGAATAAAAACCAATGTCACCTTAGTCAGATAGCTAGACTACATGTTGGATTGGATGACTCACTTTTCTAAGCTGAATCGTTTATGGCACACTAATGGTAAACCAGTTAGAAAACAGCTAATTAGTGATCAGATCATGTCAGTCTAGCACTATCAGTTCTACTTTTAAAAGTATTAAATAGTAGATACCCAATTGAACTAGCAGCTGTAAGATCATCCTCTAAGCTAAATGATCCAGAAGGATCTTTTTGTATAAGACAAACGATTTGTAGAACATGAGAATTTGCAACCGAAAAAGTTGTCTACCTGGAATACAGAGAAACTGTTATGTATATAATGCCATGTACAAGAAAGTGACTGTATATTCAACTTCAATGACCAAAATTCAAAAAGGGTACATTTAAGTCAGCAGTGGGTAATTGGGAAATTACTATTCGTTTGCTTAGCGCTTCTGAAAAGGCAACTGTTCTTAAGAAAGCTGTGAATACACAGTAACCTCTGTTACGCATCCTTGTAAAGTGGAGAGAATTGGTTGGATATTTTTTAAAATTTTATGTCCAATAATAATGACCTATTTCTCTGTCAATATCAGTTCATGATGGAAATCATTTCATCTGATGCTCACTAACGACTGTTCCTATTCAAGCAGTTAACCTGGGGTTCTTATGGGAAGCCGTGACCAGTAGGGTACAGTAGGTTGAAGGTGAGGATAATTACTCATCGAAGAAGACATTGAGAAGTGGTCGCGCTATGTCATGAATTGGCAGAAGTTAGAATTCATTGGCCATTGGATTGGGTCCGAGTGGCTTAATGGTCTACGAGCTCACTAGCCTTGTAACCAGAAGATCCTGGGTTCGAACCGTGGTGGTGGGTGTGTACTGATGAAGCGAACTAGGACGAAACAACTGCCCAGTACTTCCAGTTGGTTTTCGAATGGTTCTATAACTGATTCGGCACATGATGAAATCCTTCAGCCAATCAAACAAAAGCCCTACAAAACCAATACTTTAAATCATTTCAGTAATCAGTAAAATATTCGAAACTAACTTTCACCTTCGAATGAATTTTCTCAATCAACTATTTGAAAACGTAAAGTACAGCAAAAGTTTGTCTTTATGCTTTAGTCGTATAAGTATTCCGATTTAGGTTTGAATATGACCAAGAACATTCTACCGGTGTAGACTTCTCTTTGGTGATTATGAAGTGAAATCCAATGGTCGGCAAATCAAAAGCTTTCAAAGGAATGGTTACTGAACAAAGATGACTCTTTTCGATAACTTAATCATCAGCTTCTACAATTATATATTATAGTGAATGAATGAATTAGTGTTATGAACAACATTTACGTTGTTTCAATAACATCGAATCAATAATATCAATAGATTACAGTTCAATAGCATCAACATAACAATAAACTGAATGTCAAAAAATTGGGAAAGATAATAATACAGATTCATGAACTTACAGTCTCCACTGAAGCCCGGCAAGAGCAGTAGTAGTGGCTGAACTTTTTTCTTTTGCACACAAAGCACTAGTTGTTTCACGCGAATCGCGATAGCCTCAGCTGTTTGGAGCATGTGGTACCTCGATGTTTTTGGCAATTTATTTGGTACGTGGTGGATGATAGAGAAGGATTCTTCAAAGCTGACTTTGTGGCCGGTTTGGACCAGGTGGTCTAATATCGAACTACTACACCTTTACTTGCACATAACGCTCGCCGACCATGCACATGATCGGAGGTTCGATCCCCACGCACTCCTTTACCTCGGTAAGTCAGTAATAAATAGCTGGCGAAGAGGAAAGGTTGGGCATGAGGCTAGAAACCCCACCCTGTGAAAATAAACACTGCTACAGAAATTTCAAGCCTCTAGCTTGAAGCCCTATGTTCCATTGGGAACATCAAGGAATTAAAAAACACCTTTGCTTAACCATACTGGGAGATGTTCTCAAGCACAAAAGATCAAGTTCCTAGAGCAACGGCCGATATAGCTCACTCCAAAAGCGCAGTTGAATTGGTAGATACAATTTGAAGTGGCTAGTCTAGGTACTTCATCTTTCAGTCGAGGAACCACCATCGGTCGTGTAGAGAATAAGACGTGTAGTTCACCAGCATTAAAAGTTCTCTGAACTGATTTTCTTAATTTCTTCGTAATTATTTCGCTTGGTATATCGCCCTTGAATTGCAATCGTATGTATAAAGGCTTCTTGTTTACGGATAGTGAGTAGTCCTTTTCCACTTTCTTTGTCATGTGTTTCTTGATAAATTTGTCCGGATAGCTAATTTCTTATGTCATTTTAAATCAATCGCTTGTTTGATAAAGTAGAGGGATAGTTTGTAGGGCTTTCTAGCACAACGTATTACTGATGAAGAAGCCTTAGCAACTAGTGATTCGTTTCCAGGTGATGAGGACTATGGACTTTATAATTTTAACTGGTTGAAAAGAAATTACATCCTGAAGAAGATGAAATAAACGTATTTCTCTGTAAAATAAGTTAATATTGGCTTCAGTTTATAAAACTTGACTTATCTCAATGTATGAGAGTTATTGGAGCAAAACAACTCTGACAGAATGGTAACTGTGGGCCAAGTAACTTAAAGAAATGGTTGATCTCTTTTCAGAATTCTATTCGCTTTTCGCAAATCAAATAGTTCGAAGTGAAATTTCATAATTCCATAAACCCCAAATTTAATTTGTAAATCACGAATTTGATTCAACGTAGTACCAGTGATTCAGCCCTCTGCGTTGAGTCAAACAGGGTACACCAGTGGCGCGCTCAGTCCCGAACGATTGAAACTGCTATCCGGCGTTTAGGTGACTTCGATCTGGCTAACAAGCACTAATAAATAACTGATGTGAGCAGTATTTAACCGCTTAAATCAATCAATCATACATTATTCTCTTTTACCGCGATTTCTTTTACTAAGTCTGGTAATTTCTTATAGAACTGGTTACTTTCACTGCAAAAACACAGAACAGTTGGTCTAATGAAAGATACTTACCTGAAAGCTAATCTATTTCAAATATAGCATTCTTAGACGAATCAAATTGCAGGAAATTAATTGTAAATCTACATACCTCAACTGTAATTTAAATATTTTATTTACTACTAATAATAATAAAGCTTTATTTCAGAGAAAATGTGAACACATAGTGCAGATATTTTCAGCGTATTTAGTTCTCAGATATTTCCTCTTCATACAGGATTTACTTGTGAAGTGATAGTCTGAAGTTTATCATGCGACGTAGTGTTGTCACATATGAAGAAAGAACCAATTCTGAACATTTTTTCTTTATTTCTTCCAAGAATTTCACAGCATTTAGTCAGAAGCTAATTCATGTAGCGACCATCTGATATAAATGCGTGATTAAAACAATAAGACAAACAGAAGAGTTTAAACATTTTAATGGACAGGCCACCGTAGTATTTTACATTCAACAAAAAAAGGTGGAATCACAGTAGCAGTAATTAATTCACTGACTGGTGCATTTTATGCATTCTTGTCAATGCCATTCTGTTTGTTTGTTTTTTAATTTGTTCGCTTTTCATGAAAGACCCTGAACATTTTTCTACTTCACTACTTTTTTTCTCTGATTTTCTGTTCTTCTTTTTCATCTAAGTAGTTGTTCATGAAAAAGGTTTTTGTACTTTCATTGGACACTAGTAACTAGTGTGACGTGTCTAGTCCTTTCTTTGGTGCAGACTGAATTCTATCAGTCAGGTTTGCAATGTGACCACCATTCTAGGTAGCTCGCCATCACGGTGCACATTGATTTGATGATATTAGATAGTTGGAGGCAATCGGCAGGAAGCCCTGGACCGAGGTTTCGTGCTAGTTGGCACTCACCAGTCAGCAAGGCATATCTCCAACCTTGAAGGAACTCGTATCCCTTCTGAGATTCGAACCCGCGTCACCCAGTGTTGCAGTCAGAGACGTTACCACTGAGCTATTTGGGCTCGCGATTGACCCCCTGTAGAACTGTACTTTTTTATTTTTGGCATTACATAAACATAAAACTTTTAAAAATCTGCGTATTTTTAGAAATTCATATTCATCAATTAGTAACTGGAGTCAATAGAGTCTTAACTATGGAGATCGATATTTCGCGTTAATAGTCATTTTTAGAATGACTAAATGGTGATTGCTTTATGACATAACGTGAGATGAAAAGCATCTTGATGCCTCCTTGAGTTTAATTAATCTTCATGACAGTTGACTAGTTTTGACTATTAACAGATCACATGATCTTTGCTCTTCTTTTCTTCTGTCTTAAACTCATCAACTGAACGTGTTTACAACGCACTTACAATCAGGTGAGCTGCACTATTCTTACAGCTTAACTCCTACTTTTTGTTGAAACACTAAACCCCCATCAACTTAGCTGATCAGCCGCAACACCCACATTTTAGCCTTCAGCATTAATAATCTTTAATTGTGCATACTCTTGTAACTACTCCCCGTTGATTTTACTTGCTCAATCTGTTTCAAAAATATTACAGATGACTACAATAATAATAATAATATAATAATAATAATAATGACCTGCAAATCAAAATAACTGTTCTAATTTTTCTTCAAAGTAGCTTTTTAGTAGTAGTGTGTCCCACGTGAAAAATTTTATTCTCCTTAGTGAAAACTACTTGAGTTGTGAAAGTTTTAGTAGTCAAATTAGTCATTTTAGATGAAAATATGAAGAAGGCGCACTGAATAATGAAATGTATTGCTATGTTTACATAAACAGCCCATCTCTTGTGAATAAAAATACCTCAAACATATTTGAAAACATTGTACTTTGTTTCATTCAAGTGATCATGAAGACTTAATCATCTGACAGTCATAGTCTTTCTAACTTATATTTTGTAATTTTTTTATAATAGTTTGAAAACACACAGTATTTTTGGTACAAGTGTGGAATTTTCAGCATGTGATATCGGTAGCCCAAAGTTTGCAAGCCGACCATTGATATCACGTGTACGCTGGCAGAGAATCGAACCCCGGAGCATGTGCATGGTCGGCTAGAGTCCTAACCAATGTACCACTGATGCACGATGCGGTAATAATAACAATAATAACCGTATTTAATAAATATAATGACCTGGTATAACTATTACTATTATTCTAATTGCTATTAAATTTTCTTTTTTACTTTTAGCCTTCCCTTCATCAATGAGTTTAATTTTAAACCTAAGTCAGAAACCTATTCCAGGAGTTAATCGTGAGTAAAAATATTTTTTATTTCTAGAGAATGTTTAAAATTATATATATATTTATATATATAAAAATAAATTCCGGAAGCGACACAAGGCATTAATCTCAATGATATTATTTATCTCATACATGCAGATATAAAAGTGTCATTAGATCTCTTGATTAGTTTGAACGAAAAGATAGTGAATATACAGTTTTGGTTTGTAAAGGTTAGTTATGTTTTTACGAGTTGATCGCGGAGTTCTAGTGAGAAGTCGTGACCAGTGAGGTCCATCCAGATATCACGTGTGAGGATGGATGTCCCACCAACGACATTGGTTGGGGTCGCGCTAAATCACGAATTGGTAGAAGTTAGAATTCATGGACTGGCCATTGAATCGGGTCCCAGTGGCTGAATGGTATACGAGCTTGCCTTGTAACCGGAAGGTTCTGGGTTCTAACCCTGTTGGTGGGTGCGTATTGCCGATGATTCTCAAAAAGCTAGGATGAAACAGCTGTCCAGTACTCCCTGGTTTTCAATGGTTCTCTAACTGATATCAATCCGTGATCAATTCGTAAAAACATAGTGAATATATTTGCAGGATAAAAGGAGCTCATATTTTGTTTTTATTTCAGGGCTTTTCATCAGCTGTTAACAGACAAAAAAGACATGAGTTGTTATAAAAGCATATATATATATATAACATACTTCAAAAACTATTTCAACACAAGAGACATGAATACAATTGATCTATGAATAGAACTGGTACACTGTGTTAGAGTATCATCTAGAAATTTACAGTTCTCTAATCCAATTCCATTGTGGGTAAAATTTATTTTGATAAAGTCTCACAGTGTTATACAGTAATATTTACTGGTGACGACGTTTTGAGCACAATTTATTGCTCAGATTCATATCAAGGTACTTACACAACTTTCTAACTTCATTTATATAATTCCATTATTTTTCATTGCTTGACTTGTTTGGTAGTAGTATTTTACATATTTCCGGTATGAGTGATGAATCATTGCTATTGCACGTGTTGGGTGTACACTCGATGAACAAGGATTCAGTAATCAACTTCTCTCTCCGCCTACAACTACCTATATTACTCTTTAGAACTTTAACCCTATCCCACCCTGTTGTGTGGTTGTTTGTTAATGCATGCAGTTCAATTGCTAAGCATTTTTCTAGATTACTTATTCTCACGGGTGGGGTCAGTCATTCTAACCATAGCTCAATTCTTACGTTCTTACAATCTGACTACCACCGATCTACTAGTTTGACCTATGTAGTTGACACCACTCGCAGTCGTTGCCGGGTATTTTGTAAATTATATTATTTTGTCTAATTGTGTCAACTAACAGGGTCCTTTAACCTACAGAGCTTGTCTCTGAGCCACCCTAATTCCTGCTTTATTGAGAATCCTATGTAGGGTCTCAGATGTCCCCTGCTTATATAGTATAACAGTAGATGCCTTATATCCCCGCTTATTTATGTTATCATTATTGGTTTCACCATTACAAGGTAGTTAATAATCTAACATCCAGAATTGGAAGATCAATAATGAGTTCAGCTCAGTGAATGGTAACCAAAAAAACGTTCTTTTTAAGCAGTTGACAGCTGATGAAAGGCCGTAAAACAGAAAGCATTAGCTCTTTTTTAGTCTTGCAAATATGTCCGTTCTTCCTTTGAAAGTTCGAGTTGTTTCGCTGGTAGCTTCTGGACTGTCATCTTTTGTGAGTTATCGTAGGCCTCTTGCTCAAGTGAAATCTATCGCAAGTTGTAGGCTTGAATATACAATTAATTTGACCTTAATATCATGAAAAAGGGAAAGTTGCAATTTACACGTTGACTACGAATGTCAACATATTGACATAAACATACCATTTGTCCACTTTTAACAAAATTTAGTCAGCTATATATTACAGGTCACATGTTTTCCCCCCCCCCCCTTGGAAAACTCGTAATCACATGCCAACAATCTAATGAAACTTCATCGCGTTAACTTCCTTCTTTCAATATTACTATTTCAATACAGAAATATTTTTAAAATTATGACTGAAAAATAGGTCATTTTCAGCTTATTTCCCCTTTTATGCACAAATACTTACATGGATTAGAAAATGTGTTTCGTTTACAAAAATTTCAAATAGCAATGGGAATTCACCAGCGTTTTTCAGTTACTTAAATAGATTTGATAATGCCCAAATACTCATTTTTTAGCGTCATGCCTTTGAAATACAAACGCAGTCTTATAAAGTGGTTGGTCTGTACACCAGGAGTAATCTGCTGTGATGAATGTCTTAATGAAGAGCTTAATATTATTAAACAGTTATTGAGTGAAAACATTTATCCGGAGTAATTCATCGATTTTAATATGAACCAAAAGTTAAGGCATATCAAAGTAACAACAATCCCGAAAAAGGCCTTATTCCTACAACTTCAGTTTCTAGGGGATAATATCAGCGAGATATTAACACAACGCCTTAGGAATGTGATAATAATAGCATTGACTACTGCTGAATTATGCGGTGTCTTCAAAACAACCCGTATTTCGCGTTCAGGAGTAAAAGATAAACTACTTAATTTCGCCTCTTCTATGTGTATTGACCAATTTGACAGCTCCTGTGGAGCCAGTTACATTGGCTGTACGATTAGGTGTGTTTCCGCACACCATCTTGCGTGGTTAAAGAAGGGACAAACAAAGTTCATTCATAGCTCTACTCTATCACATCTTGTGGATACAGAACACAAGATTGATGTCAACGAGGCTCTCAAAGTCATCTACAGTTTACCAACTAATCTTAACTTCACCGTAAGAGTTTGTCTACTACATACTGGGGAGGCCACCTGTCGGGATCTACATTAAGAAATCTAACTTGTGTATCCAAAAGAAGTTGGTGCAGATACTGTCCTTACCTTGGCCATCAAGGTTTCAATGATCCTCAATTTTTTGTGGAAATATCCTAATTTTATTTGTTATTCTATTTGGCACTATATTTTTATGCTTATTATAATTTATGCATCTCTCGTGAACAGTAATTCCACTTATCTTACTTAACGAATCGATATTATTTAAATAACACCAATATTGATATTGACGACTATTCTAGAATATTCTATGTACATAAACATATATATAATTGTAGAGCCAGAAGATGAAATTATCAAAAAGGATATTCTTTGCTCAATTACTTTGTTTTTCCTAAATATCTAAATAAATATTTTCGCTATATTGAAATCCGCAAATAGTTCATCTACAAAACTTTCAATGAGATATCAAGTGAATTAGATACAGACTTACGGTAAAATGTGAAATTCCTTTAGGATTTCAAACATTATTTAACAGTTTGTTTTACCTGATGCCTAATAAATAGCATAGGAAATAGTTTTGAATGAGTGTGACAGAGCTTTTGCAATGTAACCATTAAGAGATCAGTGAATATGGTCTGGTTATCAATTTATTCAATTGGATTTCTCTTTAGTGTGATTCAAACACTTATTTTCAATGCTGATAGGATATAAGTGCAGAATGCATTCCATTGTTATGTCTCTAAATGGCAATGTCACACATCAACAGCGTTTTCAAGTTCGTTTTCTAGTTTGCCTGGATTCTTTATGCACGGTTATATGAATATGCAAAGAATTATGACTACTGGGCATATCCTGATTTAAGACATCCATTTATACTGCGAAAAATCTGTTTTCCTTTAAAACATCAGTGTGTAGAAGATAACATCATAACCAGTCGATATCTGTTTACCCCTGACAGCTGACATCTCTATATTTGTGTATACAAACACGTAAATCTATTTGCATTACTTTTAATTTGTCTAAAGAAAAGTTTTTCAACAGATATTACTGTTTAAATCATCAAATCATACAGATACGTCAGAAATGAATATTAAAAGTAATCCGTCAATTGTCAGATATGCAGATCAAGACGAAGGTTAACTTCAATCGTCTTTGAATACCAAAATTATTCAGATCACAATATGTAATCTGCTGGATACTGTAAATGGTAATCACGAAAATAAGCAGGTTAGCAGGAGGATACATACTACTGAAAGATATGAGTAGTCTGAATCCAGTAACATCTGACAGTCAGATCAAAGTTTGTATACTAAATATTAAACCTACTGTAACCATAATTACTACATCTCATGTTCATTAGTTGTCCAACTGATGTGGATTATTGGTGAGATAATGATTATTGAGTTAGTTAGTATTAAAAACACGCTTCATGCGAAGTAATTTTGGACTACTGATGTAATTTCACTTAAATTGTCTTATAAATAAGTATTTTCTTCTACACTTATTTTCATTCAAGTATTGGTATTTTGTAGGGATTTTGTTTGATTGGTTGGAGGATTTCATCATGAGCTGACATTTGTTAGAGAACCATTGGAAAATCAGCTGTTTCGTCCTGGTTTGGGACTCTTCATCAGTATGCACCCCCACAGGGTTTCGTACCCAGGAGCTCGCCTTGTAACCAGAAGGAGTCTACCACGTAGACCCTCATCGAAGACATTGGTTGAGGATAGCACTACATAACAAACTGACAAGGTTAGAATTCACGCGTCACTAAGCTATGACCCAAGTGGCTGAATGGTCAGCGAGCTTGTTGTCATAATCTGAAGGCCCCGGGTTCGACTCCTGGGGGGGCTGTTGGTGCGCACTGCTGAAGAGCCCCGAACTAAGGTGAAGGAGAAGTCCAGTACCCCCCGGTTTCCAATGATGTCTAACAGCTGTTTGCTGGTGACAAAATATACACTGAAATTTATTTAGATCCAGGCAGTCAGTTTACCGTCATTAGAATAAGAAGTTTTGTTTCAACTACAGAGAAAATGTAAATATTTAGTCCGTTTCCGTCTGAAAAATAAATAACAGTCTGAAATTTAGGTTTAGTCTCATTCACATCTATTCTTAACCAATATAGTAGGCCTTGTAGTCATTCAAAAGTGTGTACTTTTTCTCTGTACCCTTTTCTAGAAAAAAGCTGGAATATTTATATTACAGACTAT